GATCGCCCAACCGGGCGAGCTGCTACCCTACCGGGCGCGGCATACCCGATCCCTCCTTTTCTTCTTCTTTCTTCAGCTTTTCCCTTTCTTTCTTCTTTCCTCCATTACTTTCTCTCTCTAAAACTCAAATTATCTCTACCTTCTCTCTAAGATTTCTCCTTCATCCCTTAACCAAATTCAAAACTTTTTACATATTTGTAATCCTCTCTTCATCCTCTACATTTCCATATAAAAATTTTCAGATTTTATTCAAATAAATTTTCAAACCCATTTTCTACCATGGCTTCAAAGAGGGCTAGGTCCATTTTCGGTAGGAGCTCCAGTTTGAGGGAGGAATACGACCCAGATTTGAAACTTTTGTACTGGCCGACGATCCGTATTGCTAGCCGAGAGCAAAAGGAGGTGCTAGAACACTTAATCGGTCGGGAGGTAATTCCTTCTCTGTGGTTACACCGCCCTACTCTAGAATCATTTGGTTTGTATGATTTTGTAAAATGATTTTTAAATGACATTGGCATGAGAAAATTTGTTGATATGCACTATCCTACTTTCCGAGAACTTACTTGTGAATTCCTGTCTTCTTTACATGTTGTTAGTAGTAGAAATGGGCCAAATTTATTTTTTAGGTTGAACAATAGGAGTTTAACTTTTGTATAATTTTGTAAATTATTTGAATTAAATTCTGAACTATCTCACCAATGGCATGCGGACTATAAAACGGGTGACATATATCATGCTTTGACTGGTTTGCCTACTCCTGACCCCCAACATGCTAGTACCAAACCTATTCACCACCCCGTCCTAAAAATCAAGCAAAGATTTACGGGTTTGTGTTTTTTAGGTAGGAACGAGCCCCATAATGCCCAATCTAACGAACTAGCTGTCATAGGACACTATGTTTATGGGTACGAGAAATTGAACATAGGTGGGTTTATTGTTCACCATTTGAGTAGGCATGCCACGACTAGCACCACATCGAAAAACCCCATCCGTTTAGGAGGCCTTATCCCTCGGATAGCAGTGAAAAAGGTCGATTTTGTAGTGGATGGACCCCACCAGCTGACCAACTGTGGACCAGATACCTATATGACTGCTAGGTATTTCGAGGAGTTGGGGTGGGTTCGACCGGATAGCGAGCAGACACCCTTTTGGTGTATTAGGACTGGGAGCGAGCAACCTTTGCCCATCTTTCCCCTACCCAGTCCTGACTTGACCGCCTTTCCCCAAGGGAAACCTTCTTACACATATGATGTTTTAGTTGCCAACGCTAGGGGGCAGGCTCCACCACCACCAGTTCCACCACCCTAGCCTCAGCCCAAGGAGGCATTCTCTCCAACTCGTATGTCTCACTCCGTCCCTCATGTTGACTCTGACTCAGTTTGGGACCTTCAGAGTATAGGTCAGGCCTTAGGACGTATCGAGCTTCCCATACTAACCTTAGGAGGATGGTAGGCTCCATAGACCATAGGTTAGGGTACCTAGAGAGGAACCAGGGTAGAGCTCTCTACCCTATGTACGATGATTATGCTCGTCGGGGCAACATTCCCGACGACGCTATTCACCCTGACTGGTTTCAGCCTCCACCCCAGGGATACGATAGGGATCCCACTGTCCGTGGTATTTACACTAACTATTCTTCCTTCTACGGGTACGACCAGGACATTCCTTTCGGGGGACCGGCTGGGGAGAGTTTTCATGGTGATTATTTTGGTGGTAGCTCTTGTGGTGCTGTTGGTGCAGGTGGCAATGGAGGTGCGAGTTTCGGCTCAATGGATGAGGATGATCAGGACTAGCTATGTTGGGCTAGTTCCCGAGCCAATGAGGACATTGTCTGATTCTGGCTTGGGGGAGATTCTGGTTTGGTATCTTTCTTTTTCCTCTTTTCTTTTATTTTTGGTGTGTTTTCTTAGGACAGATTTCTTTCTTTCTAGGTTAGTTTTATTGCTTTATTTTATATGAAAAATACAAAAAAAAATTGAAAAATAAAAAAAATTTCAAATATACGTTCCAATGAATTGTAAATTATGTTTCCCTATGCCCCTTACTTGAGAAAATTGTTTTGATTCTTGGTATTCAATGATAGGCATTGTGGATTAGTTAATCATAATTTGATGTTTGATTGCCTTGAAACCTTAACATGCGTCAATTTTGTCCAACTACTTGTGAATATAGTGCTTGACTAGTTGATTTGGTTAGGAATGTGTGATAGTTCCATAGTTCCTGGTATGTCAATGAATTTGAGTATTGGTTTGCAACTATTAGTAATATTTATATGATTCATTATTATGCACATTGTGGAGGATGAAGGCATTTGTTCTTTTAGGTAGCCTCCAGATATTATAGATACATTTGTTCCCTTCTTGCTACCCATGTTGTTGCCTTGACTTTTTGTTGTTTTATTAGCCATATTACAAGCTTATTTTGCCCCATTGGTTACTAGTCCCAAGCTTGGCTTGGGGGAGCTATTAGTGAGTGAGGTGAGGGAGTTTGTAGTGTGCTTATTATTTGCACAGCTTGGGAGGGCTTTTGAGAAGTTGTTTTGTTGTTGATCATGTTTATTTTTGATGAGTTTGAGAGTTATATTTTCTAGAAAAAAATAAAGCATGATGTTATGAAAAAAAGAGAAGTTCAAGAAAAAAAATATGTTGAAAAAATAAGTGAACTTCAAAATAAAAGAAAAGTGTTCAATGTTCAAATGTTCTAGTTGGAGGTTGATCAAAAGAAAAAAATAATAGAGCTTCAATGAAAAATTCAAGTTTGGAAATAAAGTTTGTTTATTCACTCCACTTATTCATTATTATATCTTATGAGTGATATGTAAGAGTTGGGATTGTTTATTATGATTGGAGTATATTTGGTTGATGTTAGAGTTGGTTATGTAGGAGATGTTGATCATTATTTATTTTAATCATGGGTTTTGATAGGATTTGCTCCCTTAAGCATAGCTTTCCTCTCACTTATTCCCAAATTTATCCTACCCTTTACCCTAGCCTTGCATTACAAACTTTAAAGACCTTCCGACCTTTGTTCATAGAATTGTATGAATGTGAAAGTGTTGCTTATCAATGCAAGTTATGATTTGGCATATTTCGAGTCGACTAGTAGGATTGAGCGTTCATTGTTTTATACACGCAAGAGTGTGATTTGGGAGGGCAATGTTCACATAAAGGGGTTGGATGGAGAGCGATCGAGCACATCTTTTACTCGCCACAAAAATGAGAGTCGAGTGTGTGAGCATTAGTCTTGAATTCTATATGATCTTGTGGTTTGCTCTGTTTGACAATTGTTAGGGAAGATTGGTAATTAAATGGATTTGATTGGTTGATTTTGAAGCATGTTTATTTGATTTACCTTGGATCGTCTGTGCTTGATTTTGACTTCTTGGGTGAAGCATATTTATTGATTCATTGATGAGATCTTTTCTTAGGGACAAGCAAAGGTTTGGCTTGGGGGAGTTTGATGTGTCTATTTTATATAGTATTTTACCCCCGTCCCTTGGTCATAATTAGAAGTGTTTTTGGCTCTTTAGAGCAACTTTTATTACTAATTGGTGTTTTCAAGTGTTTTCGTAGATTTGTTGACTTTTGCAGGGAATTACACTTTTGGAGTATTTTCCCGAGATATTTTGGAGCAATCACGAGCATTGGAAAAGCACGACCAGATTCTATAGCCCAGGGCCGGTTAGAGCCATCGAACCGGTGATTAAGGGCTCGGCATAGGTGATATCGGGGCATTTGGACCGAGTATTCAAGACCGGAAGAGGAAACCCAGATTGGCCCGAAGAATTGGAGCCCAATCGTAGTCCAAATAGTGGCCCAAGTAAGCCGCTCGGCCAAAGAGGCTGGCCCCCGAAGGCGCGCCCGACTGGGCGGGAGAAGCTAAGGATGGTGCCCGGTGATGCGCCCGGTCGGGCGTGAGATTAGTACATCGAGCAAAAAGTCGCGCCCGATCGGGCGCGTGTATTTATTAGGAGGCGATTAGCGTCGTTTTAGTTTGCTTTAATTTAGAATTTGTACGGAGTATAAATACTCCTCCGTAATACGATTTTGATCTCTCTCTCTTTTTTTCCCTTTTTACTCTTTCTTTACTCTCTTAATTGTTCTCTTAGATTCTCTCCCTCAAAAACCTTTGTTCTTAATTCAGATTTGTTTGGTAACTATTTCTCTTCTCTTAATCTTAGTTATTTATTCTATTCCTTTAATCATGTCTCCTTTAATTGCTTTGTTTATTTTATATTTAATTATGTCTGAGTAGTTTTATTTCTAGGGTTTGTGGGGATCCTTAAATAATATGAAGGGGTAATTTATTGTTGTTAATTATCAATGCTAGATTAATTTTCTATTGATTGATTTAATGCTCTGTTACTAGATTAGGCCTGATCTTTTATGCATGAGTTTGACATTATTGATTCGAGATTCGACAGATGAGAATTAATGCTTAGGTCTAGTTTCAATAGGCAGGTTAATTTTTAAATGGTTAAGTCGAGATTCGAAAGATGAGATTTAATGCCGGTAAATTAATTGTGTGATTATAATACGTAGCGAAAGCCCTTTATGATCTGATTAATTATGCATTGATAATGATTATTATATTCAACCCTGGAATATTATTTAGTGGTGAACCTATGCCCTAGATCCTTTTATATATTATTTTCTCCTTATTCTTGATCTCTGTAGTTTAGTTTATTATTCAAATATAAATATTGGTTACCTCATAATCTAGATTGTATTAGTTAATTAGGAATAGAAAGATCCGTTTATCTGTGGATTCGACCCTATTTCCCTATCTACATTAGTTAGATGATTTAGGAATTACTTTTGATTTGGGGATACGACTTTACCCTGTCAACACCTATAATCTTTATTACTATTCTTAAAGGTCTGATGTATCAATTTTTAAGTTGGATGTTGGTACCAGAAAAAAGAAATTTTCCCTAATAAGTTACTCGTTCAAGAGTTACTAAGTCACGGATTACCATTCAGTTGAGCAAAAAACTAGGGCAATTTGGACAACGAAAATCATGCAAATTTAATATAATAACATCGTTTACTAAATTAAATAACCACTAAACGACGTACACTCTGTCCTCTCCACAAATACAAATAAATAACTACTCAGAACACAATTTTTTTTTAATAGTAATTAAACAGAACGACAGTTCGTTTATTACAAATGAAGATCCAACACTTTAATTTATATTCAACCGGCCTTCTACTTTGTAATGGTTGTTGTTACGGGCCATCTTCGCTTGCTGTTGTGAGCTCCTCGTCATAATTGGTTAGGCACGGTAGGTGGTCGCTTGTTGATAGAGAAGGCTGAGAATTAAATTTGGTATTAGAGAACTAATTGATGTTTTAAATTTTAAAAAAAAAAATACTTGACACATAATATATTATAAAAACTTTAATCTAGTAGAATGTTACCGCTAAATCCACCCCTAGACTGTGGCCAACTAATGTGCCTGATTTCTGGTAAAAACGTGGAGATGCTACTTTACTCCAAAACATTGCAACACCACCCAACCCCTCGTTGGAAATTGCAAACAAGGTGTATTCTCCACTTAAACCCAACCTAAAGGTTGATAGATTTCCAATTTGCGCTCTAGCCTCTGTTACTATTACTACAAAAGGTGAGAACCGATGATGAATTTGGTTAAAAATGTGTGTTAAGGATGGTTTGTGAATATCAATCGCGTTCCAAAAAACAGTTTTAATCCTAGTTCAAACCTGGCCCAGAGATCATTTACATGACCCGGTGTCCTATTCACCGTTACTCTGTAATGCCCTGCTTGCCTGTTACACGGTAAAAACGACACAACATCCACCTTCACCATCCTAGTTGGGTGTTGTATTTTCACCACCCGGATTTTTTCGATTCCACATCCTAACATTAGTTGGATGTTTTCGTTTCTTAGTTCATATGGATCGATGTTTGCCACGTCAATCACTTGTTGCGAAGCACATCCATTCATCATATTAAAATTGGTATTAGATGTGTTGGTGTAAGTTTTTGGTTTTTATTTTTTTATTTTATTTTTGGGAGTAAAGATCAAGGTTTTTTAGATATGAAATAGGAGGATTTGGAAATAGGAGCATGATTTGGTCCTTCAAAGCTATGGATGGATACTTAAGTGGTTCATCACAAGGAAAGTGCCAAAAGTTACTGACATAAAGCAGAAGATACCTCTTACACCTTGCATTAGGGTGATGGCCAATTTTTGTCCTACATACTTGTTTTGTTTACTGATATTCACAAGTCAAAGATTTCCTTGTGCGTGCTTCTTGGCATTGGTTAAATTGATTCGTGGTTCAAATCTCATTAATAAAAAATAAATAAATAAAGTTGTAAACAATGTTTTGACATTACAATGTCATTGCATCAGACACATAAATCCATAACAATACAGACAACATCAGAAATAATTTCAAACATCAAAATAAAATTCACCCATCAAATAATTACTCCTTTTAAAAAATAGAAAACATTTAAACCATTAACCAAGTATGAAAATAACTAGTACATAATAATAGTAACAACAAAATTAGTACATCTTAAGTTAATTCACCTATTGTAAAAAGTTATTACTCAGCATCATCATTGTCGCTGGTTTGAACCTCCGAGTCAGATGACCCCCTAATCCCATCAGCCAGTTTCTCTGCATAATTTAGGAGAGAATGTTTCAAGTTCTGAACATACATTTCCGAATATTCACTCTAGTCATACAATGGTTTGTGCTCCAATTCAAGGTAGTTGGACAAATTAACCCCGTTCTTTTAGCACATTAATTCCTTAAACAGGTTATATTCTTCAATGTTTGTTTTAAAACTCAAACAAATATCTCCATCACCGAAATTAATCCACTCAACATGCTTCCTTTTTTTCCCAATTACATGCTTAACTGAAAATTCACTACCAAGAACTACTGACCCCCAAGATTCCCCATGAATTTCAATTAATTCACCGACCATTTTATTCCACTTATGCAGTTTCATGAACAGGTAGAAGAAACTACACAAATAGCGATACTATACGGGATAAATTTCGCAGTACCAAAGCCACACCCTCAATGATTTTAAGTTGAAAGAGAAGCAAATTTTGAACAAATCGGTCATGTAATAAAACAAGTAATACATTTCGCGGCGAAATTTGAGGGGGTCTACAATCTTAAATGGGTTTAAGTTGAGGGTGGAATTCTATACCTGCCACAGCTCGACCGCTTCGACTTATAGCAGCTAGTTGATGGCTTAACATCAAAGACCTGTTTCAAACCTTTAGAGTGACATACCCAAGGATCTCCTGAATCTGTGGTGGCCCATCTTCCATCCAAGCCATTATAATCTCGCCGTCAACTAGGTTTTTTTTTTTTTTTTACAAGGTGTAGATACAAATTCATGTGTTGATCCATTAAATGGGCTAACTATTTCACTCAGTTTTACCCCGTTTATGGACATTGTATCATTAAAAATAATAAACAAAAAAAAAACAAGAGCTTTGAGGTGTGTGGTTGGGGAGAGTTGAAGTAGGGGTGCCCATAATTCGGATAAAAATCGAAATCCAATTCAATTCAAACCGAGTTATCAATTCGGATCGGATCCAAACTTTAAATCGGATCGGATCGGATTGAGATTTTATGGAAATTCGGATTTTCGGATTGGATCGGATTGACCCTAATTGGATCCAATCCAAACCAAAAACCGAATTATACAATTAAGCTTGTAAAAATATGGATTTTTTTGTATATTTTGAAGTTTAGTTTAAATACATACTACTACATAAAATAAGTTAGAGAGACTTTGTATTAATTAATTAATGACTTGACGTTGAACTATTTATTTTAATCATGATTTTGAGGACTTTTATTTATAGTGAAGCTTTATTTTTATAATTGTATTAGGCGCTAAAAAATAATGTATTATAATTCGGATTTTCGGATCGGATCCAAATAACCGAATAGTAATTCGGTTTGGATTGGATTGGATTGGATCAAGGGAGAAATTCGGATCGGATCGGATCGTAAAATTGAAAATCGAATTATATTTCGGATTGGATCGGATTTGGACTAAATCCAAACCGAAAACCGAACGGACACTCCTAAGTTGAAGCAAAGGCTTGACAGTGAGAGTCCTGGAAGATTGGTGTGTTCTACATATACAAATTTTTGTATTTAAATCGCACGATTCAAAACGAGCTGCCTGAACACGTGGCTATAATCTAAAATTTAAAGTTTACATTTATTTTTGTCTGATTGTTAAACTGAACATAAAAAGTGATCGTTATTGAAAAACATTGACGTACATAAATAATATGTAACATGTATTATTGATTTATTGCAAAGGATAATTGAATGTTGGGAGATTAAATGGACTATCAACATCCATGATTTTTCCCCTTTTGGTCTAATTGAAATTGTTATCGGAATATAAGTGAGTAATATGTAACGTGTGAAAGTGTAATTGATTAATGAATGATAGATCGAATGGATATGTTGTTCAACTTATCCAATTATACTTTTAAAAACGGTGCCTACAAAAATTAGGAATGTTTTATGAAATGGAAAAGGCGTTCCAATTATCTAACTATATTGTTTACTATAAAAATTTGTGATTCTTTGCCTATTGTTAATGAAATTGGTTAATCGGATTGTAACTAAGTAAAATGTAACATGTCCTAGTGCAGTACATCATTTAAATGAATGATATTTTACGAAAAAAGAGTTAAAAATAAAAGAATAACATATCAACGTAATTTGTAAGAAAATAATATAAAAAAACTTAACTTAACTAAACTTGTTAGAGCTGTACTGAACTTACTGGGAACTGAAGTTATTAGAGCTAAACTTAATTTGTAATACCCCATATTTTTCAAACATATTTCTAATTAACTAATTGATTAGTATTCTCTGAAAAAGGGTATTTTAGTAATATATTTTACATTTTGAATAATGGAGCCAAAATGATATTTGAATTTTGATGGCAAAAGTATTTTAAGAATCAATTATTACTTTTGGATTTTGGGTAAGATTTATTACCCTTTTATTTTTTTTAGAATCGGATTATTTATATATAATTCGGATATTTTAATTAAACAAAGTTATATTTTCTTATTTAACTTAAAAAGGGCCGAACTTCCCTAATTACTTTGCTAAGAGATTCTACTTTTGTAAGTAGAAAATATGATTTTTTTCTTAATTAATTAATTAGCGATTATTTGGTATTTTTGTATTAAATTATTTCATACAAAATACAGTATTTACACAATTATTTTAGTAGCTATAAGCTCAATATTTTTCGGCAACTTTGGTTTGATTTTGGGTGATTTATTTTGGTAAATTGTGTGTTTAATTTTCTCCTTAAAATCTCTTATTTTTCTTATTTTTATTTCTCCATCCTTTTAAAATTTGATCATCAAACTATCTTGCCTTTTATTCTTCTTGACTATTCCCCAAGTAATTTCCATGTCAAAATTATATGCCCAATTCTATCTTTACGGTATAATTATATGTATTATACGGGACATTTGGGAGTGTTACATCACTGAACTGAACTGAGCTTAATTTTACTAAACTTAAATTAACTGAACTTATTAAAGCTAATATAAACTTATCAAAATTGAACTTAACTAAAGTTGTTAGAGCTGAACTAAACTGAACGTATTAGAGTTGAATTAAACTTTATTTATTTGAGTTGAGCTAAACTTAACTTTTTTGAGTTGATCTACTGAAATGAGATGAACTAAACTTAACTTATTAGACCTGAACTGAACTTATTAGAGTTGAACTTAACTAAGCTGGCACTGAACTGAACTTAACTTATTAAAGCTGAACTCAAATTATTAGAGTTGAACTTAACTGAACTGGAACTGTACTGAACTTAACTTATTAGAGTAGATATTAACTTAATAGAGTTGAACTATACTGAACTGAGCGGAACTAAACTTAACTTATTAGATTTGATCCGAACTTGTTAGAGTTGAACTTAATTGAACTGAGCTAAACTGAACTTAACTTATTAGAACTGACCTGAACTTATTAGAACTTATCTGAACTTATTATAGTTGAACTTAACTGAGCTGAACCGAACTAAACTTGTTAAAGGTGATGTAAACTTAACTACAGTGAACTTACAAGTGTTGAACTTACCTGAACTGAACTTGAACTGAAATTAACTTATTTTACTTATTAACTAATATAAATAATTCGTTGTTCGGACTACTACAGTTATATATACTCTAAATTTTGAAATGGACCTGATTTACTCAAATTTATTGTAAACCACTAACATTAGGGAAATAATGGTTTGTTTTATTATTAAAAAAAAAGCTCACTAAAATAAAAATAAAAAAAAGGTCACTAGCTTCAAATAAAAATCATCTTGGTAATATATAGGCTCTATATGAGTTAATTTTGTTAATGAAATAGTTTATAAACTGGTCAATATGAATAATAAAAGTCACTAAAGTTGGGGCACAACATCGTATTTCTAGTTAAAATAGTAATAAAACTTACAATTTTTAATAAAGGTTACTATGTAAAAAGTATTGTTAATATGTTAAAAAAATTTCGCTAAATTTCAAGTCATTTAGGCGACAAATACGTATAAATAGGTGAAGTTCCATGCCAGGCACAGGTTATAATTAGTATCATTATAAATTGTACAATATTTTAAGTACTGTAATAAAAATTAGTTAAGAAAATTGTCTAATAATATTTTGAATCTAACCACCTACGTAATTATTATTATTTTCAAATGGCCGAGTTTGTTCAATTTTATAATAAGGTAGATTTTTTTATTAATATCATAAATTGGGAAAAAAATAACCCTATATAAGTAAGTAAACAAACAACAGTACATTGACTAGACGCTGACTGGTCATGATGTCAATGATGTGTTAATTAGATTTTATAATTTTTTAAAACAGTAATTTTAAAACAATCAACTGTATCACTATTAATTATTTAACCCAAGTGTACTACTAGTTACTTTCATTGTGCCTTTGAGGAAGCGTACTTTTGGTATTTCAATTTAACTGCCTATTTGTAACAAAATTTTATGTTTTTTGGGCCCTTTTTAAAAATTACCATTTAAACTGATTGAAATTAATTAATTGAATACACCCTAAAACACTGATGTAGCATAAGAAGTTAATTAACAACTACTGTTAAGATATTTATACTAAATTTAACCAAGCATAACTCTAATTCATAGCTATAGATTAGGAAAAGCGTACACCACCTTACATTACTGCACCTAAAGTTACTGCATAATTTAGATTAAACACATGAAATTACACTCCACCACAATAATACATAAATTAACATTGTTAACACAAAGTAACTCCCGATTCATGAACCTTAAGCTACACCTCCTACTGCATGTGATCACACTTAATCGAGCCTCCACTTAATCAAAAGTGGCCCTACAAAGTAATTAAAATAGATGTTCAGATTCAATTTGAACGAAGCAAATTCATCAAAATTAATTTGAGTTACCATGAGATTAACATCAACAAGACACTGTGCCGCAGGAGATTGAAACCGAGCACGCCCTTTAGTATACTCATAACGCCAAAGTACTGCAGCTCCACCGGCGTTAAATCTGAGAACTGAGTGTGCAAATTTATAATTTCCCGGGAGCATTTGTACAATTTCATTCAAATTTGTAACGGTGTTACGGACCTTAAAGGGAACAACAATTAGTGGCCGGTACATTTGATATACCTCAGTAAAATTCGGAATAAAGGAAGGTTGAGCTATGTCCCATGCATTCAAATAAACGAGAGTACTCCCTCCGTCCCTAAATTACATTCCACTTTGTAAAATTACACGGGAATTAAGGAGGAAAGAATAAGACAAAATACAATAATTAAAGTACATTAGTTGGAAATACAAAACATTAAAGGTTGTACTTGAGTAAAACAAAGATAGCTTAATGATTAAATAAGTCATGTCATCAATCCTTTACAAAAAAAAAGGACCAATAACATGCTAGTAATTGAAAATTGAAACCAATCATATTCAAATAATTTTGGCACAAGGATCCTGACTTTTTGACTGAAAATTTTAGATTCCCTCCATTTCTAATTCAACGTGCATGCCTATTTAAAACATTCTGAAACCAAAAATATTCCACCATAATCACTGTTCCATTTACAACAACTTTAACAAAGAAAAAAAACAGAGAAAAGAGGGGACTTTTTCGCATCATTTCCGAATTGAGCCATGCCTTCAGGAATCGATTTGAACGTGCCTCCAGACGATGATGGACCTACTGAAGCTAACATTGGTGGACGTACTAGGGGACTTTTCTTTGATTTAAACACGCATCCAGCTATAGAAGTTTCTGATTCAGAGCATGAGGATCATGTTAATGACATGTAACAAGAAGTCCATATGAATGGGCAGCAACAACAAGCTCCACAAAGGCAAAGAAAAAAGGCCAATAGGCTCAGCATTGAAGGGAGGTTTAATGTGCTCATATTTCTCATGAAACATTCTGAAGGGGACAAACCACACAAAGGAGCACTTAAAGCAGCAGCATCAAAGTTCAACATATGCAAAAGGTAAGCGGGAAAAATATGGCATGATGCAAAACAACAAAAAGCAGATATGGGAGGTTACAATCCAGTCCCAAAATACTATATGGCAGGAAGGAAAAGGATCCAAATCCAAGAAGAAGATGTAACAAAACTAGGAATTGGTGAGAGATCATGTATT